AAGATCTTTTTCAATAGTAATGAGCAATAGCAATGGACAACACTAAAAAGAAGTATCCACAGGTTGCATGCTCCCCTGTCCACTTGGGTTTATTGGCCTCTTTATTCACTTATAATGACCTGTTTCAGATGAAATGACAACCCATCAGTTTAAAAACCTGATGCACGAAGGGGCTGAACCAGCAATGAATCTACAGTTTGTTGTTGGGTTAAACACTGGGTTGTTTCACACCTATACAACCCACTGATCCCATTTCAGATGATATAATCTGCAACATACAAAAGAGGCAACTATGAGTTATGAGTAAAAATGGGACTTATGGGCATAAGAACATAAGAAAAGCCCTGCTGGATCAGACCAGAGGTCACAGACCAGTGATGGCAAACCTTTTAGAGAGCGAGTGCCTAAACTGCAACTCAGAACCCACTTATTTATCAAGAAGTGCTAACACTGCAATAAAACCTGAATTTGCTGACCACCAGCACAAGAGGGCAACGTTCCACTGACCACCAGCTTTTGGCTGGCCCTGAAAAAGGCATCGGAGTGTATTTCCTACCTGAGTGTATTTCTTACCTTTCTTACCTTCTGCTAAAATCACAACGGGTTGTGCAGACTCGAACCAGCGACCTTTCAATCAACCAGCAGCATAGCAGTTTAAACCAATGTATTCCACTGCTGCATCCCATTAAAATCACAGTCGATGCAAATCCCTGGCAGCTCACTGACCAGTCATGCAAAAGTTCTGCAAGTCATGGGTAACGAGTGACTCATTAGTGCCTGGTGCCCTTAATCTTTCTGAATATGCGCATGGCTCCTGGAGGGCGCTGCCTGCCCCTTTGGGCATAGGTTTGCCATCACTGTCATAGACTCATAGAATAGTAGAGCTGGAAGGGGCCATGAAGGTCATCGGTCCAACCCAGACACCAATTATACCAACCCACTCAGATGATTGTCCAATTTCACCTTGAATGTCTCTAGTGTGGGAAAGCCCATGACTTGTTTAGGCAACTGAATCAACTGTTGTATTGCTCTGACAGTGAGGAAACTTTTCCTGATATTTTCCTAGTCCAGCACTCTGTACACACAGTGGTAAACCCGCTGCCCACAAGATCGCTCTAGCAAGATGGGTGCAAGACCTCCATCTGCCCAAGCTTCTCAGCAACTGGTGTACGCAGGCATGCCACCACTGGTAAAGGAGGAAGCACATAGCCAGCAAGGCTAGTAATCACTGACGGGCTCCTCACTCATGAATCTATCCAATCTCTTTTTAAAGACATCCAGATCGGCAGCCATCATCACTTCCCATGGCAGCAAATTCCACAGATTCGCATATGCTCTGTGAAGAAGTACTTCCTTTTATCTGTCCTAAACTTCTCACCACTCAGCTTTGTAGTATGAGCCCAGATTTAAGAGTCATGGGAGAATGAGAAAAATGTCTCTATTTTAAATACCTCTACCATGTCTACCCTACCATTTTTTCTAAGGTGAATAGACCAGTTGCTGCAGCTGGTCTCCACCCCCTGCTCCACCCCCTGATCATTTCTGTCGCCCTTCTCTGTACTTTTCCCAACTCACGTGCAGCTACCGGAACTGTACACAAAATTCTAAAACTGGTTGCACCAAGGGACTACAATCATGGTAGTTTTAGTTTCCATTCAGTTCCTAATTATGCCTAGCATGAAGTTGGCCTTCTTCAAAGAAGCTGAGCACTGGGTCCAACATTTTCATTGAGCTATCCATCACTACTCCAAGATCCCTTTCTTATTCAGTCACTGCCTAGTTCAGATCCCATCAGTATGTACTTGAAGTTGGAATTTTTTTGCCCCAACATGAGTTACTCTACATTTTCTTACACTTAAATACATTTGCCATTTTGATGCCGATTCTCCCAACTTGGAGAGACTCGTTTGGAGCTCCTTACAATCGCTTTGGTATTAACCACCTTAAAAAGTTTAGTGGCATCAGCAAACTTGGCCATCTCACTCCTTACCCCTATTGCCATATCGTTTATGAATAGGCTGAAAAGCACTGGTCCTAATACAGAACCCTGTGGGACTCCACTGGTGACCTCTCTGCATTGGGAGAAATTGCCCACCCTCTTGTCTTCTATCCTTTAACCAGTTAGTCGTGCATAAAAGACCCCTGCTTTTATCCCATGACTGCTTAGTTTGCTCAGGAGCCTTTAGAGAGGGCCTTTGTCAAAAGCCTTTTGGAACTCCAAGTAAACAATGTCTACTGAATTGCCCCTGCCTACATACTTACTGACACTCTGAAAGAACTCCGATAGGTTAGTGAGACAAGACTTTCCCTTACAGAAGCCAAAGTGATTTCTTTTCAGCAGTGCTTGTCCCTCTGTGTGTTACTGATTCTATCTTTATTCATGCTTTCAAGCCATTTACCTAGAACAGATGTTAAGCTGACTGGCCTATGATTTCCCAGATCCCGCCTAGATACTTTTTTTTTTTAAATTGGTGTTATATCAGCTATTCGCCAATCCTCTGATACAAGGGATAATTTTAGAGACACGTTAAATATTTTGGTAAGAAGGGCAGTGATTTCATCTGGATCTAGCAGGGCTCTTACATCCTCATATTCATTAGTCTAAAGCTACAATTCCATGCATCTTTACACAGGATAAATTTCTACTGAACCCTATAATGCTTATTACTTCAGAACAAATATGCACACGATTGGCCTGCAACATTATATTACTTATTCTCAACAGCTTTACAGAGCATGACATGAAGAGTCATACGTTTTCTAGAGGCTTTAAAAATGGTGCACTAGTGAAAAGCTTTTAGTACAAGCTGATTGTAGGCTCATGATCAGCTCAAAGCTGTAAAACTCTCCGCAAATTCTGGAAACAGACTGTGGAGAATACCTCCAACATAGCAGCACCAGTGAAGTTACTGTAACTTGTCACTTCCTACTAGCACAGACACTACTTCAAAATGTCACCAGCAGCATAAACTTGCAAACAGCACTTTGGCAGTTTGGAAAGGCTTTTATGTTAAAAATTTCAGAATAGCTGGCAGTGACTTGAAATTATAGCAGAAGACAACTGGCAATGCTGATAACACTTGTGCTGAAAGGTTTCTACTGTGCCAAGCGATGTAACTGACTGAGTTATAAAACTGTGCTTTATAGTGCATCAAGCATTATAAGACTAATGACAGTAATAGGAGAAGCAATCCCTGCAGAGCAGCCCTTCCATTTGTGCTGCTAGGGAAGGACTACCATGCAATGATCGATACTCGGATACCTGACCTCCAGGGAAAGCTTGAGTCAGGAAACAAAAAGAATACCGTTACACAAGTGAATTGGTTCCTGACATGTTTCTAGGTATTCCTTTTTATCAAGGGACATCTCTTCCAATGCTTCTTGGCAAACCTCCAGGCACTACTTTGAGCTCAAAGCTCTGAAAGCCAAAGAAAACTACTTTGGTTAATACACAAATATGAATAGGCAAGGCCTTAACATAGCAAACTGTAATTTGGGCTTAAAGTCAAAGAAAAGGTTGACATTGGATCAATGCATCTTTTTTCACTGGGCATACAACATGCTGTTTCATGACCCATGAGACCCAGTTACCAACACATGTGCACTTCCAGCAGAAACATTCTCACTTCACTCTAAATTCAGCCTCTTCCTCTCAAGCCACAAAAAGGGTCAGGTTCTCCTTTTGTTTTCTAATTACTCCCTTACCAGTTTACTTGCTTCTCCCCATCCAACAGGGATACATCCCTTAACATATAGTGCCCAGGATTCTAGTAGCAGAAAAGACTACTAAATCTTAAACTAAGACATATTGTGAAAAAATGCTTTAAGAGTGGATCTTCCTAAAAACTTGGAAAATACAAATCGCTGCCCATTTTGCAAAAGGAGGAAGGAGGGCAATAAGACTAGCACACAGTTACTTCCCCAAATACATCCTGAGTTTGGCTATTGTCAGGCCATCCAAATTTCTAACTAAAAGGGTGCAAAGAGTCTTGTAAAAGTGCTGCGCTTAGAGAACGGTAAGAAACAAGGAACACTCCAGAACCATCCAACAAGAAGAGTTTATTTTCAATATGACAGTGAAAGTATCTTCTGTTTTTGGTATAAAAATATGAACCTTAAGGATTTAATATATGCAAAGCAACTTCTCATCTTAACCATTCCCACCAAATCTGCAATCAGGGGCCACGGTGGAGGTACAAGAACCTAGCACCACACTGGCATCAGTCCTGGCTTCTCTAAAAAAAATCCTGCTGGCTAAAGAGGAAGGAGGGCAGTGGTTGCCATTTTTGTTTTTAACAATGCCCTGGAGACTGAGCCAACAACTGTGGCATTGCAAGCATTCCCTACTCCTGCAAAACCAGTTGGGCTACCAGCACAATCAAGGCAGGTGTGTAAGTTGGAGAGGCACCAATTTGAGAGGAAAATGCTGTTCTGTCGGCATCTATCTTCCATGCAATACAGAAATATATTGTGAGTTTTAAAAATGGCATTTCCCTTAATCTTTTGTGTATCTATCTTAACTTGTAGTGGTGAAAGTCAAAGTCCTCAGTTCAAATCTTGCTTCTGCCAAGAACTCACTAGTTAGCTTTAGGCAAGCCATTCATCAGTTTCAGTTTCCTACATACAATATGCATATAATAAGAGCAACCTATTTTACAGTGTAGGTGCAGGATTACAGCAATACAAAGTAAGACAAGTAATTTAGCATATGAAAGTGCTATATAATGTTAGGTCTTAACTTCCTTTTCTTCCACAATAACGTTTTTCTTTTGAAATTCCACTGGTGAAATAAGGGGCAAAAAGTAGTTGTACACTTATATTCAAAACGATTCTGTAAAAGTGAATTCAGTTAATCCAGCTTCATCCACACACTGCTATAAAATACATCAATACACTCTTGTATTTGGACATCAATTTTTTTTAGTGATTAGCCTGCAAACCATTAACATCAGGGGTGAAATTAAAGGTTGATTAAGTAACCACAAGACAAGTACTGATACCTGATCTAGGTTTTTAAAGATGAGGATATCTTTACATGCTTCTTGTAACCTGCATCTCTGCTCATCTGTTTTGGGATGCACTACCTGCAAAACATAATAAAGTAGAAATTTAAAAATGTAGCAGAAAATGCCAAAATAACTTTAAAAGTCTTAATTACACTGTAAATCTGAATGCTGAAATGTACCTAGAAATCAGTAGGAACAGATAGGCATTAAATATTCCTCAGTTCCATGCCCAGTGCTTATTGGAGGGAAGTTTCTTATTACTTTGATAAAAAAGGCAGTGAAAGGCATTTGAGAAGGTTTGAGTATCAACAGTTTTCCTAATTTTTCATGTTCCATCTAATGGAAAGCCTTCTCCTGATTTTGAAAATCCTTTATTGCTGTTTGTAACAATTCTGTAATGCCTTAAAGAAGAAAGTGTCACTGGTTCATTTTATTATGAAATTTAGAGAAAGGAGGTAAAACACACAGAACTGCTTACTGCAGAATCAACAATAAACACCATCCTATGGATTTGCAGAAGAATTAATTACAGGTGGTTTATCCTCTTACCCTTGGTTCTGTATCTTCCTCTTCATCATCTGGGTTGAATGCTTCTGCACAGACTTGAAAGAGAAGGAAAGATTTATATTTTAATGATTAATTGCCACTATGCTCCAAGAGCAATTAACTCTGTGTAGACATGTTAATTAATGTCACGTTCCATTACAACCCCCAATTTACTGTATATGATAAAGTATACATGTATATGCTGTTACTATGTGCTACTAAGTCTTCTTTGTCTAATGGCAGCAGTATGAACGAAAGCCCTCCCAACTGTCCCATCCATGCCATCCCTGCTGAGCTCTTGTAAATGTACACAGATCTCACATTCGGCTCAATATTCAGTAGGAATCACCATGCCTATTCCCGTTAAAAGAGGAAAGGGACAATGGATGTCCCAGCAGATGCAAAAGTTCTGCCCTAAGAGAAAAATACCCTCCTTCTTGCAGAACATAATGTCTACCCTTCAAATCAGGATAATTATAAACACTGCATTGCTATTTTTCTTGTCCTCTTCCTCCTCCAATAAGTAGCAGATCACATAGTCTACAACGCATCTAAACATTTATAATCAAGTATGTGCAATTTCATCAGCTCAGTTTGTACTGTACTAGAAAGAAGGCAGCGGCTGCAGTGAGGTTGCACATAGAAAGATTACCTTAATGGGATACAAGTCAGTTATTACTTTAATGTGACCATAAATTTCCAAGGAAAGTGAATGATAAGATCTCTAAAAGGCACAGTATGAACATTGGGTATAAGTTAAAGAACTCTTTTGGCAATTCCAAAAATATAGACTTGTTAAATAAGCTACAGTAATATAGTGAATCAATGTTTTAAACTAAATACCATCTACAGGAAACCATTTTAATTTTTAGATAGCAGGTTTCAGCAAACCTAACACCCACTGACAATCTCCCAATATGCTTAAAATAGGTAGAAAATCCATGTACATCTGAGTAACAGACGCACACAACCTTACTATATGACAGATCCCACCTTGTTCTTCTTTAAACAGATGGGAACGGAGACCCAGCACAGACTTCCTGCTTGAGGAAGAGGATATGGCAGAGTTTTTCTCTAATTACCCATTCCCTGGCCACTTGGTTTATAGTTTCCTTCAGCAATGTAAGTAGATAGAGGAGTTGAGGAAAAAACTTCCTAATATCTAGCTAATATTCTATGTTCACTGACATCATGGACTCAGCAGTTTGCCATTACTTTGTCTTCTTCGTTCCAGCCAGAGTGAAACATGGCAATTTGCAAATAGAGGCAGCAAATGGCATAGTGGTTAGAATGCTGAATGAGGACTTAGAAAATTCAGGCTTTAGATCTCTACTCAGCATTGAAGTTCACTGGGTTGATTTTGGCCAATTACTGTTTCTCAGCTTAAACTGCCTCACAGGGTTGTGGTTGTGGGGATAAAAATGAAGTAGAGAAAACTTACACAAGCTTCCTTAAGTTCCTTGCAGGAAAAAAATGGATATAAATATGATGGATGAACATTATTAATTACATTTTCTGCAAACAAGCTCTGATCAGCCCTTCTTACTCCTGTCACTAAGTCACTAAGGAGACTGGAATTTGAGGAACAAGAATTATCTAATTTGGTCACACTGAATTTCCCTGAAGTAGTACTTGCACGTGATCCAAGCTATTTATTTTTGTGAAATAAAACATCTCTTTTGCTTACTTCACTGCTTTTTGGAATCTATTTTACCATGAAATACATTCTAGTAATCACCACTCTGAATAGTTTTTGAAAAGAAACAGACTTATCCTACATAGATTTGTCAATCAATGGTTATTAAGCATGGCAAATGAATGTATAGTCTCAATAATTGAAGGCAGTATGCTTCTGATTGCCAGCTGCTGCAGACAAATTGACAAAGGATGCATATCATTACGCCATGCTGCTTCCCAGAGTGCATGGCTGGTTACTACTAGAAACAGAGATCTGGCCTACATGGTTCATTGATTTGATCCAGAAAGGCAGGTATTGAGATTTCCAAAACGACCCCAAAAGTGATCTTAACTTTATAATTTTCTTTTCTGTCACCCTTCTATGGCAATATTCAGGGCATTGTGCAAGTAAAAACAGCACAATAAAATACTTGTAGTCAATTATCTCACAAGGACAAATTATCTCTAGCTTTTAAAAATACAGTTTCTTTCTAAAGAGAAATTTCTTCTTTTCCTTCTTTGATTTTGCTTATACAGTCAATGTTAAGAATGGCCAAAACTAAATATCTGTTTTCACCTTATTTTTTCCCTTTTCTGTTTAGACTTTGCTGCTGAGTTTGCATCATCACAAAATTTACAGAGGCATTCTTTTCTATTTTATTAACTAGGCTGACAGCACAAATGTCTTGGCAGATTGCCCAGCCTGCTGCAGTGAATAAGCTTGGATAGAATAAGAAAAACAAGTCCCTTTCTGAAATTCTGAAATAAATGCACCATCCAGAAGCATGCAAACCATGTGAGAGATTTTAGTTCTGTTTTGTTACCTTCCCATAAGTTACTGATAAATGCATCAATATATAGGATGCTCATTCTTATGATCAAGCTTTCATTCAGGAATCAGTGCAGCTTATTTTAATGTTAAAAACAATTCAGTAAAGCTGCATTGAAGAACTGGTACCACCATGCCCTGTGCTGCTCCCCAACCTCAGCAAAAACAGATGAAAAGTAATTCTCCAACAAATTGTGTTGGCTATGATCTAAAAGAAAGCCGTTTTTAGAAAAACAGCACAGACTTTTTACTTGTAGGAATATGTTCCACATTTTAATTTATGTATGAATGAAGAAATGATGCAAGGATAGATTTGCAATTGCTTAATTATCTAGCTGATAATCAGGTGTCATTTTCTAGAGCACAGTTAATGAAACTGTAGAACAAAGATTTAAAAATTCCCTGAAAGTGGTAACACATTAAGTAAAATGTAAAAATACCCTCAAAAGCAAAAGTGTTGATATTTTTCTCACGTAATATTCTTCCCTACCTACTATATATCATTGCCTACACTGAACTACTTTACCTTGTTGGTTGCACAATACAACGCAATCCCTTATATTAATGAAGATAATATACACCACAATTCCAGTTGTGGCGTATAACAAAAAGAGAGCTTGTGCAGTCTAGCAGATAAGAGTTCAACATGGACAAGTAACTAGAAACAATGGTGTAGTCTCAATCAAATCATCCCCAGTATAAAATGGAAATTGCAGGGTTATATATAATTCTGTGTGGACCTCCATGCACTAAGACATTAGTATGAACAGCTCCTTATAGCATTCAGAAGTTTACCCAATCCAGTCAGAACCATTCACTATAAAATAGGATGATATTTCTACAATGTTTAATTTAAAATCACTTAACAGCAGCAAACAGTATCTCGTAAAACCAAACCACCATATCGAAGAAGAGACTACCACTATCTCAGGGACACTTATGTAGTAGAGTAGACCACAATTTTATAATACAGAGCACCTTGCAGGATGTTAACAAAAGCTTTGTCAAGTCTATGGAAACAAAGAGGTTAATACATACTTCCCAAATCTGGTACATCCCAATATCTTGGATTACAACTCTGATAATCCACAACCATAAAAGACATGAGTAGAGTTGTGGGCTATCATCAAGAAGGCATTAGGTTGAAGAAGCATAGGTTAAAGTAGTAAAAAGAGCCCATGTAAATAACAAGCTGTCAAGAAGTCCCTGGAAAACAGTCTTCCACAAGTAGGCAGTCACATGTGGAGCTTTACTGATGTTGCCCCTTAGATACACAAAGAAGGGGTCCTCAAGCTATGCACAAGCAATGCAGTTTTTACTTCATGATAAAGAACAAGCTCACAATAAGCAGAATAAGCAGTAGTTTAACCCAGAAATTGGAAAGGGGGCATGGGAACACATGTGCCAACTCTTGCCCCTCACCACATCTTTTCAAAAAACTTTCAAAACAACCCAATAACACCACGTTCCTGTGCTGTTTCAGGTTGTCTGCACCCAGAAACTCTGGCTTGTTTCTGGGTTAAATAACCCAAAGTTAATCCAACAACAAACCGTGATTGTTTATTTTGGATCTATACAGGCCAATAACCGAAGCTCTCTAGATTCATGACAATTAATAAAATTACAAAAATATACATTAAAATACAGTATAAAATTCCAATATATAAATGTAGAACAGCTTTAAAAAATCAGTAAACAAAAGTATAAAACCATTTAACATGTAAAACAGAGTATAATCACTGAAACTAGGCTATCCCTCTACAGACAGGAGCATAGTTGAGCTTCCCAATGAAGCTTGTGCACTCAGTGCCACTGAGGCCGCCTGAGCCTCAATTGACAATGGCAGATCAAGGAGAAGTCCCAAGCTATGAACCTGCTCCTATAGGTGGAGTGCAACTCCAACCAGAGCTGGTTGAACACCCTCCACCCAGTCAGAGGAACCACCCACCAACAGCATCTCAGTCTTGCCTGATCTGAGCTTAAGTTTATTAGCCTTACCCAGTCCATTGTCTTAGCCAGACACCAGCACATCCATAGCTTCACCTGAGGATGCAAAGGAGTGTCATCCCAGAAGAGTACTACTGTCAGTGGTTTCAAAAGCCAATGAGAGATCAAGGACTATCACAAGGTCACACTCCCTTTGTCCCTCTCCTTACACAGGTCATCATTCAGGTGGCCAAAGGTGTTTCCAGTTCAAACCCTGGCCTGGACTGCAACTAAAATGGATCCAGATAACCAGTCTCATCCAAAAGTGCCTAAAGCTACTTAAGAACCTTGCCCAGGAAGGGAACATTTGCCACAGGCCTGACATTGCTAAGATCTTCCAGGTCCAGAGGGGACTTCTTAAGGAGTGGTCTCACCACACCTCTTTCAGGTATCATGGGACCACGCTCTCTCTCAAGAAGGCATTAATTACCTCCTTGGCCCAGCAAGCTGTTCCCTCTCTGCTGTTTTTTATTAGGCAGGAGGGGCAAGGATTTAGAATAGAGGTAGCTACATAAACCTGTCCAAGCACATTGTCAACATACGCAAGCTGCACCAACCGAAACC